TCGATGGCACCCTTGGACCCTGGGACGGGAATCTGCTGAACCGCCGGCACCACCAGCAGGGCCAGGCATGACAGCCACAGCCGCAGCGCAAGCGGCGCCGACCCCTCCATGCGGGCGCGCGCGCGCAAAACCAAACACCGTCAGGGGGAGGACGTAGACATGTGCTCACACTCGCTCGCACCCCCCACCCTCGCGACCCTCGCCTGGGACAGAAGAATTGAGCAGGGACCGACCGTCCCGGCATTTCTATAGTCCTACCACGAAATGCTCTTAGAACCCAAAAATGTTCTAAAAACAAAAACACAAGACAGGCTCTGCCAGCAATGTTCTAAGAACATTTCGTGGACTCCACACAAGGTTCTGAGAACATTGTTTGGTAGGGCTAGAGGCGAGCCAGGACGCTTCGCCACTGCTTGGGAGAGGGGTGCGCGAGCATGGCAGTGCTGCGCCCTCCAGGTGGCCGAGGGCGGGGCCTCCAGGCGCCCTCTGGGCGGACGAAAACGCCTCCAGAGCCGATCGGAAGAGCGAGGCGCGCCCTGGGCGGATTTGGGGCGAGGAGGAGGAGGAGGAGGAGGAGGAGGAGGAGGAGGAGACGGTTCCTGCTCTTTTCTTTCTTCGCGCTGGAGCGCCTGTGCGGTCGGGAACTTTGCTCAGCGTGTCGCCGCGGCGGCCCTGGCGACACGCTGTGCCCTGCAAGCGGATGGCGTGTTGCTCCGCTCCGCGGGGCAGGAGGCTCGGAAAGGCTCGGGGCGTTGAAACCTTGGGGACTGAGAAATAAATAACGTGTCGCACCGAAGCGCGGTGAGCCAAGGCCAGAGGCGTGCTAAGATTTTTGGTAACAGGTTCACAGTATTTCTAGTCCACGCATGCGTGGCGGCCCCTGGGGATCCCTGACAAAAAGTACCCTGCCGATGCCCGGCTGACTCCCTAGGGCGCTCCAGGAGCACGCCAAGAGGGCGCTGGGACTCCCCCTACACGGCCCAAGAGGCCCCGAGTCGCCGAACAATTGTTCCAAGAAGCTCAAGATGGTCTCCAGACGGCCCCAGACGCTGCGGAGAAGCCCCAAGAGAGCCTCAAGAGGCTCTCCAAGAGGGCCCCAACAAACAAAAACGTCAAATTTCCGTTGGAAACTGTCCATTTCTCGCATGTGCGACGTTGACCCAAGAAGGGGAACAGGAGCCGAAAAGTCCCGAAGAGGCTCCCAGGAGGCCTCAAGGGGCCCCCAAGAGGCACCCCAAGAAGCCCCAAGAGGCCCCCGAGAGGCCCACCTGCCTCCCAGAGGCCCCCGAGAGGCCAACCACGAGAGCCCAAACAAGATCCATGAGGCCTCTGACCCACCACCCAGGCACGGCGACATCGGCGAGGAAATATGGGCCGGCGGAATGAGCGAAGCGGTACCATAACGTGCCGCACCGAAGCGCAGTGGGCCAGAAACGGCAGAGCGACATGGTTTCCAACAGTCTCCGACCGTAAAAGGCCTCGAGGCCCCCAAATCGCCCCAAGAGGCCCCCGAGAGCCCCTGAGTCTCCAAGAGGCCCCCAAGACACACTAAGAGGCCACCATGAGCCCCCCAGGCGACATTCCAAGCGACTCTGAGAGGCATCCAAGAGGCCTCCAGTTCACTGAGGCTCCCGTTCCTGGATGGGATGGTGGGGATACTTTTTTTTGTCGCAGCCGCAAGCGAAAGCGCAGGCCGCGTCAAACGACTAAAATGGTGGGATACGCGAAGCGTCAGGAGTTCATGTGGACCGTGAAAAAACCTAGACCATGTGTTGAACACTGCCCGCTTGACTAACATGCGACTTCACAAGTCGAGCTCGAGCACTCGAGTAGCGCTGCTTACTACCGACCAGTACGGACCACGTGCCTGCGCATGGCCCTGCACGCTTGCCTCGCCATCGGCCCTGCTCTTGAGACCCCGCAGCGGCCGTGACCTTCGGACGCCGCAGCCGTCCCCAAGCGCTCCGTCCAGAACGCTCTCAGAGCATTCCGGCACGCTCCGAAAGCGATTTGTCCCGGTCCTGGGCCTCTGCGAGACCTGCCCTGCCCTGCGCTGGGCCTGTGCGAGGCCTGCCCTGCCCTGCTCTGGTCGATCCCGCCCGGCCTTGCACACCCGCCCTCTCTGCCCCCCCCCCCTCCGCGGCGGCCGCAGCCGCGGGGGGCCTTGTCCTTCCTCTTGGCGTCCTCGGGGGGGGGGGGACGAGGGAGGACGAGGACGAGGACGAGGAGGCGAGCACCGCGCCCGGTCGAGGACGACGAGGACAAGGACGACGGCGACAGGGCTCGGCGCTGCTGTGGGCGTGGCGGCCGCGCAGGCGCCGAGGCGCTGAGGCGCCTTCCCCTCCCGCTCTCCTCCGGCTGCTGCTCGCCGCCCTCCCCCGTGCAGCGACGCCCCAACGCGAGCGGCAGGCGCCGAGGCTCCGCGAGGCGCGCGGGCGAGAGCGCACGGGCAAGGCCTGCGACGGGGCCGGCCTCCCTGGAGAGGGGACCTCTGCTGACCCGGGTCCCGCCACAGCCCGGGCCAGTCAGGCCAGGCCTGGAAGATCCTGCGGGAGCCTGCGGGAGCCTGCACGCCCAAGCCCGGGCCAGTGCGGCCCCAGCGGGCCCCTGCCCTGCCATGAGGCTCCTGCAAGCTCCGGCCTGGAGGGGGGCCAGGACGAGACGATGGCGGCGGCCTCACCGGCGCCTTGCGCTCCCCTTTTGTGGCCCTCCCGGCGGCTTCTCGCCGCCACGGCCATGGATCCGCCTCGGAGACCGGGTCGGGATGGACCCCGGGAGGGGTCTGGGACTGATTTCGGCTAGAGCCTGCTTTTGTTTAGATTCGGGCCAGTTTACCTGCATGGCGTTCGGCACCTCCCCCCCCATCGCCCCTCCCTCTCGCCCCTCTTCAGACGAGTAAAAACGTGCAAGTGCCTTTTTCTCGACCTGCGTGATGCCCACATGCCAAGTCGTCTGCGGCTTGCTTCAGGTTCAGGCCCCCCCCCGTCCATGCAAGTAAACTCGCGGGAGCAAAAAACATCCGGCGAAGGGTCACTACTCTCACGTGTAGTCGATGATTTCGAACGGACCTGGGCCAGGCGGGAGAGCTGGGACGCACAATGGGACATACCAGTACCAGCCGTTCTCCTTGGATCGCGTGCGCCCGACCGGGACATATAGTATGCAGATCTTGTGGCATCACGTTGCCCGGTAAGTATGGCCAGAAAGAGTATGGCCAGAAAGCTCCCGCCACGGAGCTTCTACTGTAGGATTTGTCGGTGCGTGCGTCGTACATAGTATTAGGTCGGGCACTTCCCCCTACAGGCGGATTTCGGACGAAAAAACAGATAGTCCACAAATATCAAAAAAGAATATCAAACAATGGTCAAGTCAATCGTCCCCTGACTATGTTTGGCTACTTTTTAATATCCCTCCTGTACGTAGAGGGACAGAGCCGACTAAATATTAGTATGTTGGGGTGACGCCGAAGAGCCGCCGCTGTCTCAAGCGGCTCTCCCCCGCGGTGGGATACCCTGCCTGCCCCCGCGGTGCCGCTGCGGCGGGTGCACGCCGCCGCCGCCGACGCCCGGCGGTGGTTTTTCTGGCACCACGTGGATCGCTCAGCCCTGAACGATCTCCTCCTCCTCCTCCTCCTCCTCCTCTTCCTCCTCCTCCTCCTCCTCCTCCTACTCCTCCTCCTCTTCCCCCTCGTCCTCGTCCTCGTCCTACCTCTCCTCCTCATCCTCCTCCTTCTCCTCCTCGTCCTCGTCCTTCTCGTCCTTGTCCTCGTCCTACCTCTCCTCCTCTTCCTCCTCCTTCTCCTCCTCCTCCTCCTCCTGCTCCTGCTCCTCCTCCTACTCCTCCTCCTCCTCCTCGTCCTCCTCCTCCTCCTCCTCCTCTCGGAAGCTTTTCGACCGGCAGATCCTTCCGTTCTGACAGATTCGGGGCCACTGGCGGCGTCCAGCCATGAAAGCGGTCCCTGGCGGGGTCGCTGCCGCGTCGACACGGCCCGACACGCTACCGTACGAGCGCCTCTTGGGATCGGGACGCCGTGCGGTGCCCAATAATCCGAGCGCCTGACTATCCGAGGTGAGTTTCTCTCGTGCACGCTGTGCCTCTGGGGGAGGAGGAGGAAGACGACCACGAATACCAATAGAAGCCAGTGTGCATATGACCGCTACCTGAAATCACCTCTGGACCGGCAGGAGGAGGGTGAGGCTCCTGGGCGCTCGTGGGTGTTCTCGCATGACGTCTCCGGAGCCCAGAGGGCCCCAAGACGGCCCAACAGGCCATGAAGACGGTCCAACAGCGCCCCAAGTCGCCCGACTATCGCCTCAATATGCCCAAGATGGCCTCCAGGCGGCCCAGGAGCCCCTCAATACGCCCCAAGAGGGCTCCAAGAGACCCCCCAAGAGGGCACTAAGACCCCAACTGATTGATTTCCCGTAGGCGTCTCCACGGGTTTGTGCGTTCTCGTTTTTTTGTTTTGACGCCCAAAGACGGCCTAAAGGAAGAGGGCCCCAACACGGCCGAAGAGGCCCTCACGACGGCCCAAGAGGGCCCCAAGAGAGGCCCCAAAGGGAGAGCACGTACTGACACGTTTGAGCCCTCCGCCCCCAAGACGACCTCCGAGATCGCCAGCAGAAGCCCGCCAAAAGCTCCAGGAGGGACCCAAGAGGCCCACACCCGTACTGAGCACGTCTAGGCTATCTTGGCAATCTCCTGACAACGTTTGGGTGTTACACTTGTGTCTTTGCCGCCTCTTGATGCGAAATCGCCCTCCGAATCCCGCCAAATGGGCCCCAGGCCCCCAGGTACAGTGGGTTACGGGGAGGAGCTCTGGAAAAGTGGGCCGCCCCTACGCCTGGCCTGGGGACCTGGTCGACGCTCACCGTCGTCTAACACATATACTGCACAAGCCAAGGTTGAAAGCTATACGGTATGATAAGCGTATGAATAACAAGACGAGCGGCAGTGAGACAATGAGACCCTGAGGCTGCGAGATAAGAAGAGAGTCCAGTGCTGATCGGATCATTTTGGCCGAAAGTCCAGTGCTGGTCAGATCATACTAGAAATTCTCAAGCTGGGCTCTCGGTAGATATACCACTCTGCAATAGTTACAGCTTCGATTGCTGCACTAGCGTCGTGACCACTCCCTCGCACTCCAGCGTTCCCAGGAAGCCCCTGACAAGCGTCCCCACCTGAACGTGCTCCAAGAGGAACCCGTCGTGACCCTCATCGGACTGTATGAGGTGGTGCTGCCCCCCAGGGATGAGCTGAGCCAGCTCCAGCTGCTCGCTAACTGGATACAACACGTCGCTCGAGATGGACACAACGAGTACGGGCACCGTTATCCCCCCCAGGACCTCGGTGTAATCTCCCCTCCCTCGGGCAACGTCGTGCGAATCCATCGCCCTGGTCAGCGTCACGTACGAGGCCGCATCGAAGCCCCGCTTGTGGAACGACTGGCCCTGGTGGATCAGATAACCCTCCACGTCATACACGTCCGGGGCTTCGGGGCCGCTCCCTTTCCTGGCACGTCCGCGTCCAAACTTCGTCCAATAGCCAGGGTGCGTCCGGTACGTCACCATCGCCATCATCCTGGCCACCTCCAGCCCCCGCCGGGGCGGGTGCTCCGGGTCGTACGCCCCGTCCTGCCACAGCGGGTCTGCGAAGATCGCCTGCCGCTGGCACTCGCTGATGCCGATCTGCCAGGGCTGGTGGCGGCCCGAGGAGGAGAGGGAGACCACGGCCCGGGCGCGGAGGTGCCTCGGCTCCAGCGCGAACTCCAGGGCCTGCATCCCGCCCATGCTGCCGCCGATGGCCACCGCCACGCCGCGTACGTCGAGCTGCAGCAGGACCTCGGAAGGGGCCCAGGGACACACAAATAAGTAGACACAAATAACAGGATTCCCCATGTTTTCCAATACTTTCTGGGTTTTTGTCTTCCCCCCCACTTCCCGTAGTTCCCCATATCTTTCTGGGAGTCGACGATTACTTGTGTCTGTGATTTTTTTCCTCTCCTGAACCTCCTCCATCAGGCGCACCATGTCCCTGATCGTCACGGGAGGGAAGCTCATGCCATACCTGCGGCCCGTCTCCGGGTTCGTCGACGCGGGGCCAGAGCTGCCGTAGCAGCTCCCCAGCACGTTGGCGCAGAAGACGAAGTACTTGCTTGTGTCTATCGCCTGAAGAAGCGACACAAACGATCTCGGCTTTCGGGGGCACTCGTGCCAAACAGTCCACCAGATGGGGACTATCGAGGAAAGTAAACGCTTGGTAGGTATGGCTCGGTATGGCTTGGCGAGATCGAGCGAGGGTCGAGGATAACCATCTGGACCTTGCACGGTCCGAGCAACTTGCTCCACCAAGACTCCACGTTGGCGTTGCCAGTCAAGGCATGGCAGACCACGATAACGTTGTCGCGGCTCTCGTTCAGAGAGCCCCAAGTCCGGTAGAGCAACTCTGCCTTCGAGAGAGTCCGTCCGCAATCCATCTTGAAGTCGTGAACGACCGCAGTGTTTCCATCGCTGTTCATCACGCCATACTCGTCCTTCATCGCCATATGCGGCAGACAGCGACTGCAGGACTTCGTAAGACGCTCGTTGATTACGACCACCAGTCGAATCCTCCCTGTCATCCCTCTTCTCTCGTCGGGGGCGAGGGAGGAGGGAAGGGAGCCAAGGGGAGGATCCAAGTGTTTGGACGGAGGGACGTATGTGTCCCTTGCAACTTCTGGATGCCCAAAGGGGGCGAGAAGAGGGCGGGGGGACCAAAAGGAATGGGGGAAGAAAGGACTAGCAATCGCGAAGGTCTCCAACCGTGAGCGTCAGATGGCGACGCAAGGGCCTATGCCTGCAGACGGCACGGTCTGCGCCAGGAACACTTGAACCAAGACATCTCCTGGCCCGCACGAACACATTTGGTCGCGCTTCCTGGACATGAGGAAATCCGGAAAGACATGGAACATGATGAGGAGCAGCAGGAGCAGGAACAGCATCAGCATGAGCAAGATGACACGAAGAAGGAATGCTCGAAGCCGTGGCAAACATGGCCTCGCCATGTGGCACGAGTGAAAGGGGTGCTGACAGACGAAATTACTGGACCATGGCCGAGGTGGGATTTCGGTGGAGCATTCGTTCTGGCATAATTTCCCCTGATGTTTCAAGCTTGTCCGTGCCTCGAGAAGCCTCCTCCAGGTGCCTCCGGAGGCGTCCAGTCTGGGGACCTCCAGCGACTTTTTTGGGGGACCGGATCTGGGGCGGCTCTGAGGCTTACCACCTCCTGCCTCTCTCTTCTGCCTCCTCCGCCTCCTCCTCATCTTCGTCCTCATCCTCATCATCAGCATCCTCATCCTCGTCCTCATCCTCATCCTCACCCTCATCCTCATCCTCCTCATGCTCATCCTCATCCTCATCCTCATCCTCATCATCCTCATCATCCTCATCAGCATCATCAGCATCATCGTCATCATCCTCAGCCTCATTCTCCTCCTCCTCCTCCTCCTCACCATCATCATCACCCTCACCCTCCTCCTCATCCTCATCATCAGCATCTTCAGCATCATCATCAGCATCAGCATCAGCATCATCAGCATCATCATCAGCAGCATCAGCATCAGCATCAGCATCAGCATCAGCATCAGCATCAGCATCATCATCATCATCATCATCATCATCATCATCATCATCATCATCATCATCATCATCATCATCATCATCATCAGCATCAGCATCAGCATCAGCATCAGCATCATCATCATCAGCATCAGCATCATCATCATCATCAACATCATCATCACCAGCATCATCATCACCCCTCCCTTCCCTAATCATTCGGGCTCGAGAGCCTGGCCGCCCCCCTGGCTCGACCTGGCCGCAGCACCCATGGCCTGTACGTGGTGGCCCACGCGCCCCCTCAGAGTGCAGCCCCTGCGGGCAGGTGGCCCGCAAGCCTCCCGCGCAACCTCCCGACGGCGCTCCCGACGCGGAGGGCAGGGCGGAGGTCCCGGAAGCGAGCGGGACCTTGCCGAGGGGCAACGGGGGGACCGGCAAGGGGCTCGGTCGGGCGTGTCCCCCCACAGGCGGATTCTGGGCGAACAGTAAGAACACGTTCGAGAAATGCACCCAAGATAATCCCAACATGCCAGGACAATCCTCCCCAAACTAGTTTTGTCTCGAGCCGTGAACAACACTGGGGCCGAACGTCTCCTATTGCAGTGATGAGGTCAGTGAGGGGGGTTCCGCAACATGTTGGGATGAGGATGGGGCAGCGCCAGGCGAACGGCGGAGCCTGCAGCCAAGGAGGGCAGCAACGGCAACCTGATCTGCCGGAACGTGCTGGCGCCCGAGCCGTGCATTCTCTGTGCGGCTGGGATCGGCTCGCACGGAAATGCACTCAGCGGCAGCCAGCTCGCCCGAAGAGGCAAGGAGCAGCCAGTGGCTGCCAGTGGCGGCGCGTCCTGCTACAAGGCGGGCAGTGGCAGTGGAGGCTGGTGCTGCGAAAAGAAGGAAGGCGCTCACAGCTGCAAGGTTGGGGTCAGCGCGTGCGACGAGGCAGGCAGTGGCAGCGGAGGCTGGCCTTGCGGGAAGGCTGCACACACACAGACACACACACACACAACTCCAGCGTGAATGCCGGTATTGCGAGAATGTTGCAGGCGCCCTCGGCTGCAACGCCAGGGTCAGCGCGTGCGCGCAAGCAGGCAGCGGCAGGGGAGGATGGCAGGTCCAGGAGTTTGCGGGCACCTTCAGCTACAACAATGGGGGAGCGCGCGCGGCAGGCAGGGCCGTGGCGGCAGAGGCCGGCATCGCAAGAAGTGTGGAGGCGCCCTCGGCTACCACCTCTTCAGCCGGCGCGTGGGACCAGACGGGCAGTACAGTTCTGGCGGCAGCTCGTGCGAGACGGCAGGACAGGTGCAGGGAAGCACGTCGTCAGCCACGAACGTGGGGATGGCGCGAGCGAGAAAGTGTGCAGTGGCTGCAGCGGCCAGAGCACTGCGGCAGAGCAGTGAGCAGGAACAGCACGTCATCAACCATAATGCTGGGGGCAGCTCGCGCAACAAGGCAGCCAGAGTGCAGGAGCCGCAGGTGATCAGCTACAGCGCTGGAGGCACCTCGTGAGACCCAGGAGTGCAATGGCGCAGCACCAGCAGGAGCAAGATGCCATCGGCCACAACGCTTCGGGCAGCTCGCGCGAGAACGCAGGAAGTGGTATGCGACCAGCTGCATCGCTGGGGTCGGCTCCTGCGAGAAGGCGCGCGGTGGCGGCGGCGGCCAAGGAGGCCAGTGCCACGCGGCAGAGCAGGCGCAGCACGCCGTCAGCTGCAGAGCTGCGGGCCGCTCGCCGGGGAGTGGACGTCCGAGCAGTGGCAAGAGGGGTGGCTTCGTGTCCCGCCGACCAGCGGCGACCCCGCCGCTGACGTTCAACTTTGGATGTCGCTGGCGACCCATCACCGGTCGATGTTGAAGGACCCGACGTTTCGGGAACGGCCGATTGTTCAACGCTGACAGAGAAGGGAGCGAAAGTGTAGGAGCGGAACGCGACCAGCTACAACGCGGGGGGCGGCTCATGCGGGAAGGTACGCAGTGGCGGCGGCGGCGGCAGTGGCCAGCGCGCCATGGCAGAGCAGGAGCAACAGTCATCAACCACAATGCTGGGAGAAGTGCGTGCGACACGGCAAGCAGTGGCAGCCGAGGCATGCACTGCGAGAAGCCTGGTGGGTCGTCGCCACGCTTGGATCTGGTCGACAAAGCGGGCGGCTGAGGTGCGCGCGATGGTGGGAGCAGACGCGACAGTACGTTCACATTTGGCTCAAATTCGGCAAACGCAGAAAGCTGGTCATCAACCACAACGCTTGGACAAGCTTTTGTGAGATAGCGTGCAGCGGCAGCAACTGGCACTGCGAGTTGGACGCAGCAGAGGACCATCGGCTACAGCGCTGGGATCAGCTCCTGCGAGAAGGAGCGCAGTGGCAGCATCTGGCACTGCGACGAGACACGTGGTAGTTGATGCTTCAGCCACGTGCACGTCCGGGGCCCGTGAGAATACTCTGCAGTGTTTTCGGGCAAGCACGTGGTGGTTGATGTTTCAGCCGCGTGCGAGGATGCGAGAGTGTCAGTGAGAGGGTGAACATCCGACCACGGTGAGCCTTTCGGGGGAGGGCCCCAGAGGGCTTTGGCAAAGCCCTGCTGCACGGCAGAGGCAGTTAGCGGGACCTGTGCTTATCCTTACGTCGGGCGTGACCCCCTACAGGCGCATCTTGGACGAAAAAATACGAATACCCCAAAAGTGCTCAAACATATTTAAAACATAATCAAAAACATCGTCCCTGGACTATTCTTCGACTACTTTTGAATACTCCTCCTGTAGAGGGACACGCCCGACTTAAGCTTGTCCTATTTATCCTCCCTCCCTCCTCCAGGGGCTCCAGAGCCTGACCCGATGCTTCGGCTCTGAGCCCAGAGGCACCCTGCCTCTGGGGACGACGCGCCCGCGGCCGCCGTCCTTCTTCTTTTTCTTCTTGGCTTCCTCCTCGTCGTCCTCGTCCTGGGGCGCGGCCCTTGGGCAGGAGGCGGGGGTTCCGAAGCGGTGCTGTGACAGACCGTGCGGTGAGCTCGGGCAAACTCCTCCAAACCCTCGGCACGCACGGTCTGTCGCCGACCGTCGGCGGCGAGCCCGGGGGGGAGAAGCGAGAAGGGAGGGTTTTTTTTTCCCAGAAGGCTCGGAAGTTCTCTTCGGAAAGTGAAAGACGCTGGTGCCCAGCGCGGATCCAAGAAACCCGCGCGGAGCGCCACAAGTTTGCGTTTATGTTGTTTTTCCATATTCGAGGAAGCTCTTTGGCCTTCTGAAGAGTTTTCTTGGCCTTTTCCGAGAATGCCAAAAAATCTCGGGAGGCCGGGAGGCTTCTGAGAAGCCCCGCCGCCTTCTAAGAAAAGGCCTGCCTCTTCTCACTTCCCGCCCCCCCCGGGCTCGCAGGTGAGCGCGGCTCCGCGACCTTGGAGGCCCCAGTCGCCCGAGGCACCCCTCGCCATCGCTCGGACGCCCATCCCCTGTGCATGTGTCGGTTTCGTGCGTGTTTTTGCCAGACTATCTAGGATAGGGGAGACGTAAGACTCGGGTTCGGGGGACTCGGGTTGGCCTGACGGGGCCATCATGAAAATGACGAGACCCAGTCTGAAACTTGACGCGAGGCCCCGCTGCAAATATTCCCGCGAAAACAGGGCCGTTAAAATCCAGGACACGCGCTCGTCAAAAAGCGTCGGGAGACACGAGTTCCGGCGCACTCGAGTCGTACGCTTCCCCGGTAGGATGCTCCTCGATGGTCGCCGTAGGGAAACAAATCTGCACGCGTCCGAACGATGCCAAACCAAACGGGGCGACAAGCCAAACGGGGCGACCACCCCGAAAAGTAAAGTCGTTCCTTTCACGACGTTCTCCAGCGGCTCCAAGACGGCCCTAACCCCTGATCCTCAACCCCTACACCCTACACCCTAAACCCTACACCTTTGTTCATCTTATGAGGATACCTCGAACGATGGCTGTATCTTCGACACATACGGTCATCCATCCCCATCAGCATCGGGAGCGCCCCGGATCGGCGGCGCGGCCGGGGGCCGCTGCAATATGCACGCGCCCGACCGATGCCAAGCCATACGGGGCGACCACCCCAATGACCCCGACGACTTCTCAGGCGGCGCGGCCGCCGCACCAGGCCCCGGGGGCCCACGGGCTGAAAAACGCACATCGGCGGATGTCTGGTCCCGGGGGGAGGGGGAGGAGGAGGAGGAGGAGGAGGAGGAGGAGGAGGAGGAGGAGGAGGAGGAGGAGGAGGAGGAGGAGGAGGAGCGAACGTCGCCTGACTGGGCGCGTGTGCCTGAAGGCCGCACTACGGCGCGCCAGCCCCGCCCGACAGATCTGCGGGTAGCCTCAGGGCTCGGCGAGCGGCAGCAACGGCAGTCGTCTGCTTGCTGTAGGCCATCGGGTGGTACGCCCTGGCGGCCACGGAGAGCCTGGCGATGCTGTGGGGGATGCCGTTCTCGCCATGGAACGGCTCGGTCAGCTCGGGGAGGCCGAGCCTCGTCAAGATGTTGGAGCTCAGCTGGCCGCGC